CAGACAGTGGACAGTCCTGCATGAATATCACACAAGCACAGAAAATACTCTTGAAAAAACTTATCAGTATTGCTTTGTTTATATTTATGGTAAAGAAATTGTGACACAGGCTTAGAATTTTTAAGGAAGATAAGAAATACATCTATGTGAGATTTGCTAAGCTCCATGAAATGTGCTTACAGCAATGCTAGGTAGAGCAATGGGACTACATGGAATGCCCAGTACCCACGGGTTTGTTATTGCTGTTGTGGTAGAACAAGTAAAAACATCAGAAAATAAAACAATAAATAGCACTCGCTTGTCATAAATATAATGTCCCATTTACATTTTTAATTAAAAGAAAGTAGGTTAGATTCTGATCTCTTTATATCCACACAGCTAACACTTCCTCAGGAGTGCACATCCACTCAGATTGGCAACTCTGTAAATGAGATTAAAATCTGGGCCAATAGATGCATTAATTTAAACATTCAGATTAGTTCAAGTAAGCCCTATGCCATAACACAGCCATCGTATAGTTAACATTCTATCCATACAGCTTTTCTTGTTGAATGTTAAATGGCTAGTATAGTATCTGAGAAAGAATTTGTCCTTTTCATTTGTGTCAAATGAGAGATTGTCAATGGGAAATATCTATTCAGTTTTCTTTGCTAGAATATCTCTCCTCACTCAAAAAACCAAATTTTAAAAGAGAACCACATTTTTTAAATAATGTCTTCTTATTTTGACACTACGGTGCTTGAAATTAAAAACTGTCAGCTCAGTAAATAAGTAGAAAATTCAGGAGAAATAGTAGTTAAAGAGTAGACAAGCAAAAACTTGTAATGAATTTTTATTATTGTCTCTAACACAAAACAGCTGTATCACCCTCTCCCTAGCTAGCCACTGCTATAAGGTTTCACAATCCAGTACCTGCTAGGGCAAACTTGTGAACTCCTTCACTTTTATCCATGGCAAACCTGCACACGGGACTGCGGTCTTTCATTCCTTAGAGGGATGAGGCTGTTTGCTATATGGTTACACTCTTCGTGGGATCAAGAACTGGACACAGCTGAGAAGACTGGTGCTGATGTTCTGACCCAGCAGAGGACTTGTCTTTACCTTCAGCCAAACCAGCAGTCCAGCAGACAACCCCAGGGCAGAAAACTGAGGACATATTTGGGTCCTTCAGGGCTCAGCAATCAGACAGGCTGCAAGCTACAGCAAACCACACTGGGATAATGGAGAGCAGGTTTCAACTGACTTCATGAACAAAATAGACTGAGTCTAAAGGAAGAAAAATAAAATTATTATATATATTTCACACCCACTGTAATAAAGTCTCATCAGTACAAACTGAACTTTGCAGGTTTTATTTTATTTTTTTTCCATGAACAAAGACATGCATGTCTATCAGACACACAGCTACACAAATGTGTATGTACATTTATTTATTAGATAGAACACTCCCAAGAAATTTAATGAAATATAAGAGTTTATTTTGAAATGAAACTTCAACAACATATGACAATGTCAATAATCGTTATCTCTTAAGAATAAACCAGCTCACAGAACAGATTTCAATGATGATAATTTGTTCCCTTCAAGTTGTCTGAAATGACACCTTATCAGTATATCATCACTGATGGAGGTTTAACCACAGAAAAGCAGTTGCATAAAGGAGCATATAATCACTCTCCACTCAACTTTCAATCTTCGTATCATCTGTAAAAAAGAAGAGAATCATGTCCTGAACTGCTGCAAGCACAATATTATTTGCAAGAGGAAAAAACAACTGTTTGTGATACAACTTCTACTTAAAATTGAATATAGCCCCCCTCCAAGAGAGTTGGAAATAATTACCAATCCGCTCATACAACTGAGAAATAACAGCCTTTTCATATCTGTATGTAGGTAAGCCTGGCTTCTGTTTATCTCAGTAAACATCACCTATATTTAGATGCATATGACCCTGATTTAGATTACTGCTTCTTTCAAGAAACACGAATTACTTATCTCTGAAGGCACATGAGAGTTTCCTTCAGGTATATATACACAAGTATATATATACACAAATTACATTAATAATTATGTTTTCCTTAAAATACATATACTTTAACGTACTGCAGTAAATCCGTATCACAGACTACAGTACCATAATGACTGCAAAACCAAAATTGTGCTAAACCAGTTCCACCCAAACACAGTTTTGTTTGCTTACACAGCACTCCACAGAGTTTAAAACAGGTGTACCAGGACAGAAAAATCAAACTATTTACAGAAGATTATGCAAACATGTTTAAATGTCCTTTAGAATTAAGACCATAACAAAACTCAACTATGTTAATGGCTCTTAAAAATAAAAATATCACCTGACACTTCTCACACCGTCATCTGCAGATGTATTTGCCTTAAACCGGACTCCACTGGGATCTCCATTCCTCAATAAAATCAGCACATCTAATCACATCTGAACAACAAGTTTACCTATAGAATACATCAGGCAACCTTACAAATTCAATAAACATCACCACCTTTTGCTTATGGCCAGGAATAATTACTTAAGACAGAACTGAGTCATGTCTAAGGGAAACAAATTAATTCCATGGAAAAGTATGAGTTTTCTGGTTTATGCTTTACACTTTCTCATAAGCCATACATTGACCAAAATAATAAGAATGAACTGTTGTGTAAATCCTAATTTTCGATGTATGTTTTAGCATTAAAGGAATATTAATGGAATACAATAAATCTGAATACAATCAATTTAAACAAACTTATGGATAACTGCAAAATATTCAGCACTAATGTAAAAACAATTACAAACCTCTGTAGTGGGTTTCACTTTCCATTTACTTTTATTGCGCCTGAAGATTATCTGTTCACACTATTTTTAAAAATCAGACATTGACACAAAGACTCAAAACCTGACAAGGTTACAGTATCTGTAATTATTACATCCTTGGTTTTGTTTTTATTAAAAATGAAAATATTTAGAGACTTTAAAAATTCAGAACACTTCCCCGCTGCTTCTTCCCCCCCTCCCAAAAATTTAAAAAAAAAAAAAAAAAAAAAAAAAAATTTGGTAAACAAAATTACCATAAGATCAAGATATTTATTAACCATACAGATCTAAGGTGTATATGGTTGAACACTGCTCAGTGACTACCGAGAACAGATAATGAAAACACCCCACTGCATTGCCCTGCCACAATGCATGATTATGACTCAAAGATATTTAAATTATCATGTGATAAATGTTAACATATTCACTTTAAAGACTTTTACCATGAGATGTCCCATATGGAAACCTACTTAATAGCTGAAATCTCCTTTCTCTCTTGTGCAACAGAATTACCTCATAGTGACTGTGCCTACTGCAACAGATATAAACAGTTACCTGCTCATGTTGCTACATCGTGGCTACAGTGCATGGTGTTTTGCTTGATTTAACACAATTCATCTTAAAATACACTAGTAGAGATGGTAGTCAGGGCTGAGTCACACTTGACTCTGACTGTACTACATCTATTCAGACTAAAGGAGAACTTTAATTCAGGTGAAGGCAGCAAGTTAAACTTGAGTTTTTCTCACTGTCGGTTGCTGAAGACGGTAGGTGGTGCAGTATGTAGTCATGTTACTCCTGCATGAGATCAGGCTGCCCCTGGCAGAAGTGGTTCTCTGTGGTGTCTACATCACCACCGCTGCCACCCTGCTCTCCTGGCAGACCAATTCCTTATTCCCTTGCCCCACTCTTCTGATGTTTGCATCTACATGAAGAGCAAAGCTGGCATGTGAAGCTAGGTGAAAACTAATCTACCAAAAAACCTCCAAACCCCAACCTTTTCTACAAGTGTTGTATTTCTATGTTCTTCCTGTTGCAGCTATGGCCTAAATCTCACAAAGGGCAAATGTGGCAGGTGAGTCTGGATACCAAGTGTATCCAGCAGTGTAAAAACCACAACAACCACCCTTCTTGCTTTCTGATAGGTGGAATCATTTTGAAAAAGTATTAACATTCCCTTCGCTATAGAAAGTTTAAATATGAACAATCAAAGAAACAGTTGTGATCATAATTAAGAAATTATAACATAATAAAGAGGTATTAGGATGTTCTTCTAAATTACCAATGAATGAGAAAAAACGTTTCTCCAAATTCAGAAGAGGTTACTAGTGTTACAAAGATCTATCTTGACACACCTAGCAAAATGTATTGATTTTTAATACTATCAAACTACAGCACTTTAACCACAAACAACTTCATACTGTCAGAACTTTTATGAAAGAAATTAAATACGTAAAGGTACCTGCCTAAAATCTGGCTTATTTGAACAGTTTGCTTTCCAGAAAGAGAAGTGGTCTTAGGCTAAAAATCTAAATGTAGATCTAGGTTACAATATCACTATATAATTGCATTTAAGTAAAGGACTTAAAAAAAAAATAGAGACATTTCCAACTATGTTTATAATTTAATTTTTTGCTGGTTAAAGTCTATTCTTTCTTTTACTGAACTAAAACTAATTCATAGAAATCATGCGGTATTTGTAATTTTGGTACGTTCTATGTGTAAATTCAAACTACCTGAAAGCAATATATTATTTTTAATATAGCTAGGTCATGTTTGTTTCTATACTACCAAGTTTACCACATTAAAAACATTAAAGAAACACTTGGATTTTTGTGTAAATTGTTATACCAACTGCTGGGCGAATATATGCTCTCCTCAGAACACTGAGCATGACTTTTTATTACCAAAAAGATAATCCATATGTGTTGTCAACACTGTTTTCTAGTTGACAGAATTAATCAGCATCAATATTCTATTTCATAAGAGTCCTAGTCTTATAGTCAACTATGTAAGGGCAAGAATTTCAATAAGCATTCTGTTATTTGGTGTGTATTTTTTTTGGCACAGTTTTATGTTTTATAAAAGTACATCCTTGCCCCCGATAATAATCAGTGTGTATTGGTGCATACCTTCGGTGAGAACCTGCTTAGTTTTTTTCATCATAATCAAAAGCCTATTCTAAAGGGTTGTTAAGAGTCTCACCTCCTTTGGTTTGCAGTGGTATGCTGAGAATGTCAGCCTCTGTGGATGGCTCATTGTTCATGCTGATGCAATATAATGGTTCACCCAAGAAAGAAGGCTTCTTCAACCTTTTTGTGTTGAGTGCTCTTGACATAAAGTAACCTTCAGTAATACTCTTATCTCCCATCTTCTGTAAACCTTCTAGGTCATCAGGTTCCTCTGTCTGGGCCAGTGAATCCTTTGATAAGTGACTATCAGCCAATGCTTTGCTGATATAGTAGCCAGGGATTTCACTCTCTGCATTAACACATAAGCTTTTGTCTTCCAGTCCAGCCTTTTCCTGAGCCATTAACATCCCTACAATATGGTCTTCAACTAACATTTTGGAAAGAGTAGATGTGGAGTGAGGAGTGGAGTCTTGACTTGTGTAACAAGGGGGACTTAATCCAAAAGAAAGAGATTCCTGAGACTTTGGCATGGTAACGTTGCTTATTGTTCTCTGAGGCTGCATACATTCTTCCAGAAGGGTCTTAAGCTGCTCTTCAGAGAGGCCCGTTTGTTCTTCAGTCTGAATAAAAAAGGGGTGAGAATTTCTCTGTCAAAATATAATTAATGAAAAGCAGTGCCATAAAACAGTTTGAGAGATACAAAAGCACTGGCAGAACTCTTAAACTGATATTATTACTTTTCAGTTCAAACTGGATTTAAATATACATTTACATAATTACATCATTTATGTAACATCTTCACTAGGTTCTAGATAGATTAGATACTGAAAGTTAGGAAAGTCTGATGTCCAAAAGGCACTGAGGCCTTTGATTTTGCTTAGTCTTCCACTAGATATTACTGCTTTTTAATTACCAAAGCATGTACTTTTTCATATACCTTGGTTTGTTGTGCATACACACACTGACACTTTAAGATTCTAGTCACTGAAAGCAAAACAGCACGTTGCTAAAAGACTTTCAGCTGTTGGGGCAATGCAACTGGGGTCAAAAATGGTTTTGGTCAGCATCAGCCCACAGATTGTCACATACTGACTGAAGTATTCCCAGACACTCGCTGTAGAAATGCAGCATAGCCTCTCTCAACCATGAGACAAAATGCATGTCAGTTACTCGTCTACCATGTGAAGTATGAACCATGGAAATGTGACAGAAGAAAGCCCTATCTTCTGTAGGACAGTTTTATTGCTTTCTACAAGCTGTCACTGTTTGGATAGCTCACAGACAATCTTTTCAGTCAATTTTTTATTCAGACAGTGGCACACTCCCATCATTTTCATCATGCAGGTTTCCTTTACTGGACATTTCTTAAAATTTGTTATCAAAGATAATGACTGATATTGGCTGGTAACAGTGAAGAACAGCAAAGGATATTTTGCTTAGAGAGGTTTGAAATGCAGTTACTTCTAGCCTTTACAATCCTTAATGCTCCTTGCTAATAGAGAAGTACACTACTCCCTGACAAGTTAAAGATAATAATGAAAAGTACAAGACATATTTTAGATATGCATAATACATTTGACCATGACATATGAAAGATACAATAATAGATACCATAAATGTTATAGATACTATGCAACATTTACTGGAAAAACATGCTTTCTACAATCATAACCTTGGACAAAGGATCAGCTGACAAATCTGATTAAATCCCTAAGGCTACAGTGATTTATGTCAAACAACGATTTTATTCACTGTGTAGCAACTATTAAACAGAACTCACTTTACATTGTGCTAGAGCATGGAGCTACTGTCATTTCAGAGGAAAGTTCAGTATCAGATGTCTAGCTGATTTCTTTTCCCCCTGAAGGTCTCTTATCCAACTACAGGAGTGGTACAACCCTGTTTGATGTATATGACATGATGAGATTGCAGCCTAAGTAGCACAGGGTGTACGGATTACGCCTGAAATCTGATTATTCATGTTCATGAATGAGGACAGTTTCAATAAAGAAGAAAATAGTATTTCTTTGTAAAACTTGTTGTGGCTATTAAAAAATTACAAGGTGACGCTACAAAGCGAACAAGACAGACATTTTAGGTTACTTCCAGACACCCATTCTGTATTTACATGTTCAAACATTAATAATAGCTAATAAGCACTACTACAGACTGTTTACTTTACAGTTCAGGCACTAGCTGATGTACTTAATCTCAGTTGTATAGATTTATTCAACCCACTTATCTTTTCCTGCACAGACTAATTTCCTTCCCAAAGACACTTTGTGTTCACTTTCTACACACAGAAGACAACCGTATAAAAGAAATTGAGACGTTAAGGCTTTTAAAACAAACAAAAAAGAGCATCCACAGACTATCATTATGTGTAGAGAGCTTTATTTAGATGAATAGAAAATCAGGTAATTGTATTGAGATTCAGCTAATCTTGGTATCAATCAGCGTACCTTTGATAATATAACTGAAATCAAACCACAACCTTAAGCATTTATTTAGACAACAAAGAAAAAATACGACCTCTTCAAACTTATCTCAGGTTTTTACACTTTAATCCCAGTGCAGAAAGTACTCACTGATGAAAAATAAGTCAGACAGCAAAACAGTTAGTAGCAAAACACAGGACAAATCAATAATGAAACCTAGAATTTTTCAAATTTTCACTCTCAATCTAATCCACTAGCCCATGCTAAATTACTTACATTTCGTGAAGGAGTATTTTCACTCCTAAGACAATGTCCGTTTACAAGTAGTCATTATTAGAACGGACTCACTATAAGAAACAAGATGCATTCACTCAGGCAGACACCACAGTAACGCAGCTATACCGCTACTGGAAGCACAGCTGCATCTAGAGTATATCCACAGAGCAGAATACTATGCTACATAAATGTAACTATATTTGTATCACAGAAGATTCTCACATCTGGAAACCCACATGGATTTCCACATGGTTTTGAGTGTGTGGTTCCATACTAACATATTTCAAAACTCTTCATCAAGATCTTTTGGAGCTAATTTTATGTTAATGACAGGGCAATTCACTCACTGCAGAAAGGAATTCTGCATCTGGAGTAAATGAATGACTGAGTAGAAAACGAACATAGTGAGGAAGATCATGTTGTCCTGCTTTCCTTTTGTCCTTTTATTCCCCCCATCCCCACCCCATTTATCTCCAGTCTACTTTTTCTTGTCCAAATTTAATTGTTTATTTTTTTCCTTTCAAGAAAATTATATGGCTTGTATTGACAATTAGTTCATAGATTACCTTGATTATTAACAGAGGGCTAAGTGGGGAGATCTAGAGCCTAGCGCAAATGGGGAGGGAAATGAGCTTAACAGCTACACAGTGAAAAAGCTCAGTAACTTGTGGCCTTGTTTTCCTCCAGAGTAGCAGGCCTGCAGGCAAAGCAGACAGTGTAAAACATTACCTACTTTTGTAAGTCTTTATCTCTTCCTGCCTTTACATTGTTTCCTAAGACATGCTTGCAAGGATGCAAAGATAATGAAAGAGAAAGTATTTAACATACCTCTCCAAAATTACATTTTAAAATACTAAAGGCTCACTGTTCGCAATTTTCTTGTGCCAAAGTCATTTTAGGGTCAAGGAAAAATATACAGCAGAGGAGAAGATAGCTCTTAAATAGCCATCAGTTATCCACTCAGCAGCAAGAAATTTACATTCAAATGAAAGCAGAAAGGCTGCTGTTGAAATCAGAAAATGGAGTTTAGGGAAACCTGTAATACCCTAAGGAGGGACACCTCACACCAAAAAAGGCTGTGCACTTGCAACCAAATGACAATTTTAACTCATGGGATCGCATAATACAGCAACGACATCAGGAATTTGCAAAGCATATGTTTGTGCACCCTGTCACAGCTAACTGTACTAGTTTAGAGTCACAAGACTCAGAATCAGTAACATGGTCTTAGGGAGACACTAGATTCTACTTCTCCCAAGCTTTTGCTGCCCTCACTGTAAATAATTTACAACTGCTATACAGAAAAAATACTTCAAGATATTTCTTTCAAAATACAAGGACATAAAATTAACATAATTCAAAATGCAGAAACAGCCCACTAGACAAGGGAAAATGGTATTAGGTCTGGTTCCCATTAGAAATTGGAAAACCTTTTAATTGTTCTGGCTAATTTTTAATAGGACACTGAGTCCTATTCATTTCCTAGGCTTTTTACCGTTAATGATCCAAAAAAACTAATTCCTAGCCAGGAGTTTAGGAGCCTGCTAATGACCTTTACTGTTTATGTGTGGCTAGTTTTTCACACACTTGTGGCCCTTCCCTGACTGAAGATTTCTTGTTCCTTGCTGAATTCCTTGGTGACATGGGTCTATACAGAAAACCTTACTGCATGTGGTAGGAATGCAAACTTGTAGATCGCTGTGGACAGTCCTGCTGTGACTACGGGCTTGCAAGTTCAAAGCTTTAGGCTTGTTTTCCACATCTACACAGTAAAAGAAACAGACTAACACTGAAAGGCCTTATATTTTAGCATGGGGAGAAAGCTAATATGTCAGGATTATTTCTAATTATTGTAAATTACCATAAAATCACACACAGTAAACGAATAAGCACTAGATAGCCAGGACTATTTAAAGACTCATGTAGCTGGCACGTCTATAAACATTAATACTTGGTTGCTTAATCTGAAAGTACTACAATTCTCATCGTATTTTATTCACTTGACACAATTTATTTTGATCCTCTAATTTACTTACATTTTTACTCATGTGTAGGACTGCAACAGTCAATTCTAAAGTAACTCTTCCTGATAAAAAGACTCCGTTTGTAAGAGTATACTGATCTATTGAGAGAACATTCAGATTTTTAACGTATCAGCACAGGAAGGTTTTGTAAGTTTTAGTTATTTCATGACTTATTAATAGTTTCTCAAACAGCTCTATCCTGCTTTGAAAAGGCAATCTTTGCCTTGTATCTCCACACTATTCGACTCAATGTGCTGTGCACCACCAACTCCAAGGTGTTACCTTTACACATCACACCAAAGCACCATGTGCTTGTCTATGAACAGTACTGGTCAGCACTACCATGGAATATTATTAATAGGCTGCATACAAAAGTCAGACACATCATTTCATTGTGGAAGAGCTTCTTACAACTTCCAGAAACGCTAAAAGCCCAAAGTTCTTTTGCATCACAGAAGTCAGGATTGGTGCCCATTGCTTGTAAACTAATTTGAATTACAGGAATATGTCCTTATGAGACTGTTGTGGGTTAACCCCAGTAGGCAGCCAAGCACCACACAGCTGCTTGCTCACCCACCGTCCCCATGCCCCAGTGGGATAAGGGGAGAGCAAAGGAAGAGTAAAAGCAATAAAGCTTGTGGATCAAGATAAAAATTGTTTAATAAATAAAGAAAGGAAAGAATAGAGAAAGAAAGCAAAACAAGTGACGCAAAGGCCATCACTCACCATCTCCCATGGGTAGACCAATGCCTTTCCAGTTCCTGAGCAAAAGATGGGTAATCTTCTAAACTGCCTCTTCTCCCTTCTTATTGCTCTGCGTGACAATCTATGGCATGGAGTATCTCTTGGTTATTCGGGTCACCTGCCTCATTGTGTCCCCTC